CGTTTCCGAGAACTCGCGTGCACAAAAATCGGTAAGAAAAAAAATAATAGGGAAAAAGAAACCGAACGAAAACAATAAGGTCTTCCGTTGGAGACGGAAGACCTTAACTAGATGAGATCTCGTTGCGAGCAACGAGTAGGTCTTCCGTTGAATTTCTAGTTAAGATGAGATGTGATTTTGACTGAGATTTTTGTTTAAAGAGAATGACATTGAGTTTTCCCTAGTTAAAGTTAAAGTTTCTCATTTTTATCACGATATTCTGAACATCTTTTGTTTGATAAGGCTGATGATAATTCTCCCCGTTTTCCAGATATAAAGCATAAAAAATATAGCATTTTGCTCCCTTGCAACCCCTAATTACGTAACATATGATAAAAATATTATCATATATTGTTGGAAATCGTTAAGATAAATACTTTTGCTTCAGTAATGTATAACAAAATATTGATCATTATAGAGTTATAGATAAAAGGCTTTTGGCCCCTATGAGCCTCTAATTTGAGGGGTTAGCCCCTTTTTCTTGATATCAAATGAAAGGTCTTGTGATTTTGAAGATTTTTTGTTCAACACTTATTCAGAGAATTCTTTTCGATTTAGAGATATGCTCAATGAAAATATTTAGTAGCCACTCCTACAAGTCCTTAATGGGGCCGTTTTACAAAAATTCAAAGTATGCATATTGTTTAGAACATTATATTGACCATCTTTTGTTCAATATTGCTTATCAAAATATTCCCTCTTTTTTAGATATAAAGCGTCAAAGATGTGACATTCTGGCCCCTTGTGACCCCTTATTACGTAATATATTATTAAAATATTATCATATATTGTTGCAAATCGGTAAGATAAATACTTTTGCTCCAGTAATATATAACAAAATATCGATCGTTAGAGAGTTATTGATAAAAGACTTTTGGCCCCTATGAGCTCCTAATTTGAGGGGTCAGCCCCATTTTCTTGATATCAAATGAAAGGTCATGTGATTTTGAAGATTTTTTGTTCAACACTTATTCAGAGAATTCTTTTCGATTTAGAGATATGCTCAATGAAAATATTTAGGGGCCACTCCTACAAGTCCTTAATGGGGCCGTTTTACAAAAATTCAAAGTATGCATATTGTTTAGAACATTATTCTGACCATCTTTTGTTCAATATTGCTTATCAAAATATTCCCCCTTTTTGAGATATAAAGCGTCAAAGATGTGACATTCTGGCCCCTTGTGACCCCTTATTACGCTAGATATGCTTAAAAGTTTATAATATATTATTCCAATTGGTTTAAAATTTAAAAATATCGAAAAATCGAGCAGAAAAAATGATAAAATTTTTTGGTCACACGGGGGATCGAACCCGGGTCGCCCGCGTGACAATCCAACGCGCTAACCATTTAGCCATTGAGATCGCCGCTTCGCGTTTTCAAATGCAAATATCTCGAGATTGGCTTTTTCGATTTTCAAACAAATTACATATTTGGCTTCTGCAAAAGGGTCTCTATTCAATTCTAAAACAAAAATATTGAAAAAGAAAAGTTGAAAAATTGCGATTTATAAATTCGCTTCCGGTATCGACCGGAAGTACTGACGACGCACGAAAAGGCGATTCTGCAACGCTATAAGTCATGAACTATCATATCCAATTAATCTTTAGTTCATATCTTAAGCAGTTTTTGCTGCTAAATCAAGACAAAATTGCATTTTAAAATCAGAAAATTGTCCATATCTCACGACCGGAAGTGACGACGTCAACGAAAAAAATTTCCAATAAGGTTCAGATCAGTACCTATCAGATGTGAAAGTTTCATGAGAATCGGCCCAGTAGTTTACGAGAAATCGCGTGCACAAAATCGGTAAGAAAAATAATAATAATAATAATAATAATAGGGAAAAAGAAACCGAAGAATAACAAGAAGGTCTTCCGTTGGAGACGGAAGACCTTAATAAGAAACAGAGTAAAAACAATATGTTCCCCAACTTCGTTTGGGGAACATAATAATAATAAGAAACAGAGTAAAAACAATACGTCCCCCAACTTCGTTTGGGGAACATAATAAGAAACAGAGTAAAAACAATATGTTCCCCAACTTCGTTTGGGGAACATAATAATTACTTCGTAAGTTCTATGGTCAATACAATGCCCGTTATTTCCCGGGCATGACAAGGAATAATCCCTGTTGAGATTCTGCTAGGCTAGGTATTTGGACTGATGCCGTCGCAGAATCCCTGGACGACTACTAATAATTCATGTCTGAAGATTAATTCCCCACTTCGGTCGAATGTTTATTTGACTCTCTGTCACTATTATTTCTACATAGCTTACCGTTTAGGCATGTAAATCCCAACATAAAAATATTCACTGAAATCTCAGTTCAAAATATGGCTCCCGTGACGAAATTGTTTACCTATAGTCTGTTTTTACCCTATGTGATGTTCAATAGTCACATTATACTTGGTTCAGAATCACATAGGGTAAAAACACACTATAGGAACTCTTTTATTTGAGGAGGTAAACAATTTCGTCACGGGAGCCGTTAGTTTGAATGTTTGTGGGCTCTTATCTAAACTTCAAATTGTAGAATTTATTGAATTTATCAACCAGTATGATATTGTTTGTTTAACAGAAGCAAAAACTGATGAAGCGGACATTATCGATATTCCTAATTTTACAGTATTTAGTAAACATAGGTCAAAATTAGCAATACGGTTTGTGCAAGGAAATAGGAGATGAATTTCATTATTTATTTAAATGCACTGACCCATACATTAAGAATTCTAGATTAAATCTATTGCCCAAATATTATTATACAAATCCTAATGTTTTTAAGTTTGACCAACTATTTAATTTGAACAGCAGGGGAAAATTAATTAAGTTATGTAAATTTATTGGAACTATAATGGAGAGAGTTGGCTCTCTTGGTTTGTGACATTGTCATTTTTTTTTCCTTTTTCTTTGTCTCACGCATGCTTAATTAATTAATTGTAAATATTTTATGTAATATCCTCTCTATACTGTTTGTACAGTTTATGAGAATAAAGTCTTGTCTTGTCTTGTCTTGATATGGATTTGCGGGGCTGATAACCTATATCAGCCCCGCTAATCCATATCAGCCCTGCACACCCTTAGTAAATTAAACCACATCAAACACAATTTTTGGTGGGTTCATATTCTCTTAATTTTAAATTTTTGAAAATAAGGTTAATCTTAATTTACAAAAATACATGTAATAGATTATTTAAAATTACGGATCGAGTGCATTGAAATAGAAGTAGAAACAAACCCAAATCCTATGAGACAATAGATCATGTATATTTCTGTAAGAAGTCCATGCATGATTATTTACTTATTTTCCTCTCAACTTGATGTGTTCTGTATTTTATTACTACTAAGTATGTAATAAATATAATAAAACATACCCTTTTCCACATCACATCCTGTATCAGCCCTCGACCAATATCATCCCTGATATTGGTGTCTCGGGCTGATACAGGATGTGATGTGGAAAAGAGTATGTATTATTCTCTATTTAATTACAGCTGAACGTCGGTATCTCACTGACTCAATACTATTATCTACATATATATGTGGAAGTGATACAGAAGTGCCAGTCACTTATTCTGGACTTCGTGATGACGAGGTTTAACGGAAACTCAATTTGTAATATGTTTAAATATATTTTTCCCCTGACAACCATGGTGAAGAGATCTGACAGCCTTGTAAAGGTGCTATTTTTTGTTGTATAAGAATTGATTGTAGGTAAATACTGGATCAGATTAGTGAATAAAGACTGACATTGTTAGAATAGAACAAAATTTGTATATTTTTTATAACCTCTCAGAAGAAATTAAATAGAATGTAAATAAAGCTTGTATGATATAGTCCCTTTAATTTCATCGTGTCTTTCTGCTTTTCCAGGAATCACAAAGCTCTCCTCTGATCCATCCACATCTTCGCTAGCCAAGGGTGGTGATCCGCTCCTCTCCTCGTTTCAAAAGAATTTTTCTGATTTATGACATTAACATTTGATCTTTTGACCTTAAAATCAATAGGGGTCTTCCTTAAGCCACAGGAAGTTGTTGGGTAAAAGTTCATTATTTCATTGCAAAAAGCTCAAAGGTTTCGAGAGATATCGCATGAAATCATATAAGTGTTACAGATAGAGAGAGCTATAGACAGGCTGAAATTAATATTGGGGACAAAAAGAAGAGCACGCACGGATCTAGGAGGGATCGAAAGGGGGTACTTTGAAAAGGACAGGCGGGGCCACAGTGAGTCATGGTATAAAGTTTCCTTGCAAAAGCTTCTCCAGATATTGCCAAAAAAGAAAGTTTTACACACACAGAATGTATAAATTAACGACCTTGACTTTTGATCTTATGACCTCAAAAGAGTCTTCTAAAAAAGGGTCTTCCTTAGGCCATATAGGGAGTTGTCATTGCAAAAGTTCAAAGGATCGAGATATCGCGGAAACGAAAATGTTATAAAAAGACAGATTTTTAATAAAAATTATGACCTTTAACTTTGACATTTTGACCTCAATATTAATTATTTTTCCTCAGGCCACAGGAAGTTCTTACGTAGAATTTCATTGCAAAAGCTCAAAGGCTTTTCAGGATATCGCATGGAAACGATTTCAAGTGTTACAAACAGAAATACAGCTAGACGGACTGTTGAGGCTATCTGGTTCCGCTTCCAAGATGGCGGACAGGAGTTCTCTCCATATGTGAGTAAGCGGTACCAGATATTGCCTCAACCAAGGCGGACGAACGTACTGTATAGACAAACAGAAATTAATATCCTCCACTTCAGTGAAGGACAATAATCACATGATAATAGCATCCCATCTTAGACACCGAAAGCGGGGGATTTCATTTGCTTGTTGAAATTATTTTACAAATCCGGAGGACAAGCCTTATGGACATAGGATGGCATGTAAAATTTTCATGCAATCGGTGTGCCATAGTAATGGGAATTTAAACCGAAAGCTCCACAGCAACGGAACCTTGAGGATAAGTTTGTTAAAATGGCCGAGTCAAAAAACGAAACCCCTGTCGATTACCCTGAGAGTGATCAATGTCATTGTCCGATATGTCTAGAGAAGGTAAGAAATCCGAAATATCTACCGTGTTATCACACATTTTGTGAGGCGTGTATTCAGACTTATATTTCAAGTACGGCGACACGTAAGGACAATGAAACAGTAAAATCAATCGAGTGCCCAGTGTGTCGTAGATGTATCGAGGCTCCGCGGAATGATATTTCAAGTGAAGATTGGACATCAGAATTACCTCAGAATAAACTTATACTGACTTTATCTATAGACCCTGAGCAAGATGATAATAAAAACTGCATGTTTTGCAAAAGATTGGAGAAAACTGTACTTGCATACCACTGGTGTAAATCTTGTATGGAAGCCATTTGCGAAGATTGCAAATCATTACACAGAGCTGTACCAAGCCTGCAGAATCATAAAATTGTAAATCTTTCCAACATCAAGGAGGTGAACAGTGAAATTGAGATAGAAGAATCGTGTCTTTTGCACAAAGGAAAAGTACTTGATGTCTTTTGCCACGACCATCAAAAGCTATGCTGCAGTGTATGCCTTGTGAAAGAGCATAAATTGTGCAAGAATATAGACACAGTTGAAGATATAGCTCTGGAGATTGACCGAGATAGCATTCAAAAGACTGCTTCAAAATATACCGATTTGGAGAAAACTGTTAACGATATTCTATCAGAAAACCAAAATAAAGTATCTAAACTTCATACCAGAAAACAAGAAATCTGTTTGGTCACTGAAGAGAAAGTTCAAGAAATCAAATCATTATTTGACAATGCACATGTCATGTGGCTTAAACGCTTTGAACAGAACCATGCCGACTCCGTTGGAAACATCGAAATTGCTTCCGAGGAGTTGAGACGGTTTTCTACTACAATACATGAAGCAAGAACCATGCTACAATCAGTGTTGAAGAACGGGTCTTCTAAACAATTGTTTGTTACAAATTATAAATTACAGAATCAGATTTCTGACCACATCACTCGTTTAAAGTCTTTGGATGTTTGGAATTTTCCGGAGGATTACAAGCAACACAACTCGGATTTTCTGAGTCAAATATCCAATGCAAAAGAGTTTGAAGACGTGGTGTTGTCTAAACTACAATCTACGGCATTGGAGAGAATTTTATTAGATGCTCCAGACAATGATGCCATTGTAAAAAGGAGAAAAACTATGTCTCAAAACGACTGGATGAATGTTGACTTAAGAAAATTATCGCAGATTAAATTGCCAGAAAGGGCTTATTATGGCTTGTTCATACATGACACAAAAATTTTATTATCTTTTACTAATCAACCTTCGCTGAAGATTTACGATATCAGTGCGTCCAAAGGAGAATGTATTCACACGGAGAAATGTCAGAATGCACCGCATGACCTCTGTCACTCCGATTTGAGCTTGAATGAGATTTATGTTTCTTTTGAACACTTTATAAATCATTATCGAATTGATGTTGCAGAATCTATTTCATTCACAAAACTTAGAACAATTCAGTTGAAAGAACCCGTGTTGGCAATTGCTCGAGGACCAACTGCAGTGTTTGCTGCCAATAATACGAAGAGAATGATTTGTTCTTTGGATTTCCATATTATCCACAGTTCATCATATAACAAGATTGGAAATGCACCCTTTGTGTCCTCGTCATTAATTTCAGATCGTTATGGTTTCGTAGAGAATGGGATAGCAGTGGCAATTGACCAGAATAACAAAGAAATTTTTAAAAGTTCTCAGAATTCAGATTTCCGTGGACTATCTTTTGACTTACAAGATAATATTTTGGTGTGTAATTGGTCATCTAAACTTAAACAGTTTAAACAAGGCGGAGGTGAAAGTAGAGATATTGATGTGACAGACATGGCCAAAACTTATAACGTTGTACTGCATCCAGCGGGAGAGAAGATACTGGTGTTAGACTTCGATAAAATATGCTGTGTATACCAAGTATCATAGTAAATTCATAAGATGCTTGCTTCAATTTGTTCATATAAAGCTTTTGAATAATCCAAAAAATATAATTGCATGGTAAATCACCGTTTGCACTATACCAGGAACGGTTGAATTATGATTATTTTTAAAATTACACATTATGCTTGACTGTCATACACTTCTGCTGCTGCTTGTTGTACTTTATAGTTGCCCTTTACATTGGACGACCCCTTGGTACTTTTAAAGATACCATGACCAACAATCACCAGAATTTTGAAAATAAATGTATTTAAAATCATAGTTGTTTTATTTTCTTCTAGAAAAATAAATATTAACTGCACACTGACTACACAACTACGCAGTATATGATAAATGGAGTGACCAGACTTACCTACATTGTAAGGATGTTATGAAGTTTAGAAATCCACTTAGGTATGTTCGTCTTTCAAATTCTTCTGATTTCGGAGAATATCAAAAATATTCAAAACTGACGTGATTTTTAAGCTTTTCTTCATAGTAAGGGAGCTATGTATATAAGCTGGATTACCCCTTGTAGAATAAAATAATGAGCCATACAAAGAAAGACTATGTTATTTCCTGCTTTGTCAACTGGGACCAAATCATTCAGATCGTGTCATCTATCTTTCCTTTATTTGTTTGAGAATTATTGAAACAGAAGGAAAATGATTTTCATTTGACCCTGCAATTACTTAATTGATGAGAAATTTTAACATACATCTGATACTTTTGATCCATTCTGACAAAGTTTAATGATTCTAGTGTTTTGCACTTTTCCTGTAGAGAATAAAGGTATATTCGATATCCAAGCTCTGAAAAAAAAAGATTTTTCTGTGCTCAAACAATCAAATAAATAATAAAATGGTAAACAATGAAAAACTTAAATTGATCTGTATCTGTATTTAACTCTTTAGTGGAGAGGTATTGATTGTACTTGTCTTTTACGTTCAAAACAACCAAGATTTTCTTTTGCATAAAATTTTTCAGTGCAAAAGAATTCGAAAATGTAGAGTTGCCTAAACAACAATCTTGGGCAAGAAAGAATTCGTGGGATTCTCTAGTGTTAGCTAAAAAGATAATGTTTTGCAAAAAAGAAAATGGATGCATGAAAGGGTTGGACAAAAGTCGACTTAAGAAAATTATCGCAGATTAAATTACTATAACAGAAATAGCTTATGGTTTGTTTGTACGTGACACAAAAATTATTTTATCTATGACTGATATGTCTTTGCTGAAGATTTACGACATCAGTAAGTCCACAGGAGAATGTGTTCACACTGAGATGTGTCAGAATGGACCATATGGCCTTTGTCACTCCGGCTTGCATTTGAATTAAATTTATGTTTCTTTTGAAAACTTTATCAATCATTATCGAATAATACCAGAGAATCTACCGGTATACCATTTTCAAAACTTAAGAGGGCTGGGGAGGAAGGGGGGGGGGCATTTTTAGACTGTATTGATATCTTTTAAAAGAAGAGCTTCATATGAAGATCTACAAAAAAGCTAAAATGTATGATGTTTTGCCAAGTGGTACTATAAGTTGACAGCTTAAGCTAAATTTTTTATAATTTAAGGTGTTTTATTGCGTGAAAACTACAATAGCGAAACACTTTATTTTTATACTATACATAACTTACATTGACTCAAGTGTACATGCAAAGTTTGGGAAAATCTACCGTCCAATTTATGAGGGACCGTCTCAAAATACAGGTACATTTACTAAAGGATTATATGGGAAAATGCCACTTTTTTGCACTTAAAAGCAAATTATACAAATACTACAATAGATTTTTTTCTCAAACTATGATATGAAGAGTAACACTATATTGTTCATTATATTTAAGAAATACAAAATTCTACCGTCTTGTTTCCAGAGGAGACATCTCGAAGTACTAAAGATTAAGAAATCTTCCTGTTTGTATAGAGTACTGAAAACATGAAGGATACAAAGGAATTATATATAAAAACAAGATGTGTTTGTGAAACACAATGCGCCCGGCGGCAACAAAAAATCAAAAAGCTATTTTTAGTATACTAGCATAGGTCACAGTCAAGGTCACCAGGTCATTGACCTTGGTGTCATTGGAAAGAACTTGATAAGTGGAGTATGCAAACCACAAATGGAGTCTCTATCTTTTATGGTTCAAAAGTTATGGTGAAAGTTACGAAAAAGCTATTTTTAGCATATAGGTAACAGTCAAGGTCACCAGGTCATTGACCTTGGTGTCATTTGAAAGAACTTTATTAGTGTAGTATGCATACTAAATATGAAGTCTCTATCTTTCATGGTTCAAAAGTTATGTTTAATATTACTTTTTCTTTTATATAATTTTTTTTACCCCTTCTTTAAAAGCTTCACGTTATCATAACGTCGAAAACACAATTTTACGACGCCAATGTACCTATCAGTTGAAAAATCGTTTTAAAAATCAGATATATGAAATTGTAATTGAAATTTTCAACCTATAATTTCTTAATTTTATCAATTTTTTTTAATTAAGTGAAAAAATTGCTCATAGTTATAAACAATAAATAAGCCTCATTTTACTATTATGCGCACACTATTGCGCAATAGAAAATACAGTCGGTCCAAATACACAAACTCAGACTATCAGGTAGCACGGGTAGCTGGCCTGTCAATCAAATCAGAAGCTATTGTTTTTTAATGATTCACAGGCGGTAAATTATTAACCTTGAATCAGGTAGATTTTGGGGGCGTTAACATAAAATTGGGTGTTTAAGTTAAATCTGATAATTTATTATTTGTTGACCCTCTTGCCTCCTTAAAATCATTTAGTTGAAAAAACACATGTTGTCAATTTCCTCCTTTGTTAGGTAACCTGAGTAAACTCAGGTGACCTTTTGCTATCCGTTTTCGTCCGTCGTCCGTTAACATTTAAACATTTTCATCTTCTTCTCTGAAACCGCTGAACCAATTTCAACCAATTTTAGCATATAGCATCCATGGGTAAAGGAGAACAAAAAATTTGAATTTCATGGTCCCTGCCCCCTGGGGACGGGGGGGGGGGGACAAAACCACTAAAACTAGTGTAATCTTTAAAAATCTTCTTCTTTACTCCTGGACATCAAGCAGTCAAACTGCTGGTATGGTTGTATTCAGCATTGAGTCCTCTACCACAATTTTGAAATTCATGGTCCCAGGGTGAGGGGTTCTGATGTTAGGGCGGGGCTCTATTGATTATATAGCGAAAATGCATTAATTCTTTGAAAATCTCCCTTGCTCCGGAGTATTAAATAAACTAACTAAGTACATAGTTGTGATGGGCAAGAGTGTCTCTTCCAAAATTGTGAATTATATGGCCCCATGGTCAAAGGTTCTGGTGTTTAGGGCGGGGCTCTATTGATTAAATCTTTGAAAATCTTCTTCTCTACTCATAGATATTAAATTAACTAAGTACAAAGTTATTATTAGCAAGAGTGCCTCTACCAAAATTGTGAATTTTATGGCCCCAGGGTCAGGGGTTCTGGTTGCATTAAAAATGCATTAAATCTTTGAAAATCTTCTCAGCTCCTGGGTATTAAATAAACTAACTAAGTACATAGTTGTGATGAGCAAGAGTGTCTCTACCAAAAATGTGAATTTTATGGCCCCAGGGTCAGGGGTTTTGGTGTTATGGCGGGGTTCTATTGATTATTTAGTGAAAATGCATTAAGTCTTTGAAAATCTTCTTCTCTACTCCTAGGTATTAAATTAACTAACTAAGTACAAAGTTATGATGAGCAAGAGTGCCTATACCAAAATTGCGAATTTTATTGCCCCAGGGTCAGGAGTTATGGTATTAGGGCGCGGCTCTATGATGATTATATAGTGAAAAATACATTACATCTATGAAAATCTTTTTTCTCTACTCCTGGGTAATAAACAGATGAACTACCTATTGATTAAGTTATGATGTGCAAGGGTTCTTCTTTCAGAATTGTGAATTTCAAGGCCCCTTGGTCAGGGATACAAAAGAGGGGGGGGGGGGGGCTACTTATATTTTTATTTTGAAAATGAATTGTTTGAAATCTGCTTCTTGGTAGTAATCAAATATTTTTGATAAGCAAGTGTGCCTTTTCAAAAATTGTGCAATGTGTAGACCTAGGGTGAGGGGTTTATGTGTGCTAGGGGCACTACCAATTATTGCTGAACATTACTTATTAGTTGAAAAACATTTTTTGTTCCCCTACCCTGCTTATGTGTATTAAGTAAGCAAACTAAACAATTGTTAAGTGTATAGTTATGATTAGCAATGGTGCCTCTCTCAAAATTGTGAATGCCAAAGCATCTAGATTAAAACATGGACCAAATTCAATAATTTGAAAGTTGTTGCATGATGCTCAGGTGACCTATAAGGCCCATGGGCCTCTTTGTACTAATGGTTCCAATCGAATAATATTTTCTTCAAACTTTTGCATTACCCTTAGGTTAGCATATGTACCTAGTGGAGATGTACCCTTTGTGTCTTTCTCATTGATTTCAGATTTACATTGTTTATCAAAGATGGTATGTTAGTGGCTGATGACAGAATACCACCGAAATTATAAAGTATACGGGATACAAATTTTCGAAGAATTTCCTTTGACTTACAAGACAATATTTTGGAGTGTTATTGGTCAGCCAAACGTAAATAGTTTAAACACGATAAAAGTGAGAGCAGAGACATTAATGTTGCAGACATGACTAGCACTTATAACGTTGTACTTCATCCAGCGGGAGAGAAGATATTGGTGTTAAAGGGGCATGGATACAGTTTAAGCTAAAGATTTTCAAATTTATTTTTCAATTTTTATAAAATTATTAACTAGTCTTAATGATCATAAAAAATTGAACTTTATGTTTACATAAACTTTAAGTTCACTTTCTCGTTTGTTAATAAACAAATGATGTTCAAATTTTGGCTGGTCAGTATATGGTGCCTTACCTAGGAATTGTAAAAAATTAAATTCATTTTTAAAAAAGTCAGTTGAAACTGTGTCCATGCCTCTTTAAGCTATGACAT